CGACATGCTTTCGGATTGCCTGGAGCAAAACAAAGCCCCTCACCTTCAAAACGGCATTCTGAAGGTCCTCCTTCCACACAGCATCTCCAGGACGTCGTAGTAGAATTTCATCTCCACCCTGGTGCCTTCTATGAGGAGCACGCCCAGGTCCCTCAGGACGAGGGCGACGTTCTCCCCCTCCCGCAGGCACTGGGAGATGAGGGCCATGGTGCCTCGGATGCAGCTCTCAGCTTTCTGCCAGGACACGCAGGCGTCCGCCGCCACCTCGGCACGTCTCAGGGGCTCCAGCTTCTTGTGGGCTGGAAAACCACACGGGATGGATGTTGTTAGGCACCCGGCAGCCTTTCATGCATCTCCCCCACGTGCTGCTTGTTGCAGCCATCCCCCCAAATGCCCCAGCTTTGGGCTGGCTCCGTGGCTTGGCTTTTGAGCACGGAGGCCATGCCCCACATGCCCCGGCCGTGCAGCCAGCAAGGTTTCATCCAGCACCTTACCTGGCAGGCTGCCGTTGCTGTCCTCAAGGTGGTGTGTTTATGAGGTTCGTGGCCAGGTGAAACACGGCCACTGGAAAATCATCGCCTTGTCCCCAGCTTGGATCCGTTTCTGGATTATATCGAAGGAGCCCAGAGTGGGGATTCGGACACCCTGCGAGTGGAAGGGAAGGGGCAAAGGGTGAGGACAGGCCGGAGGAAGAGCTGGAGGTGGCCCCATTCCAGTCCTTTCCCTCCCCTTGCCCTTCCGAAAACGCTCTGCTGCAGTCAAGGCAGAAGCAGCCTGAGGGGACCCAGGGGCCTCCAATGACTGGGATCGGCCCTGAGACACGACACCACCTACCACAAGGGATACCGTGCCTGCGTGGTGCCTGTCAGCCCCTCGGTGGGGACTTTTGGGGTGAGTTCCCTGCTTTCCGGGGAGGGGAAGGGTCACTACAGCCCGTGGCCCCGAGCTGTGGGGACTCCCCTGACTTGGAGAAGCCAAGCAGAGAAGTTGGACTCGGCGCCGACCCACCTTGTATTGCAGGAGCTGCTGCAGCACGTAGTTGGCCACCGCATTCCAGACGTCTGTTTGCTCTGGAAAGCAAAGGAAAACCTGGTCACAGTGTGTCTGGTGGTCCCACACCTCCAGCAGCACCCCGAGACCCGATGTTTGGTGCCTGCTCACGCTGGGTCTGGTGGTCCCACAGCTCCAGCAGCATCCCCAGAGCCGGGGTTCGGTGGCAGATGAAAAGCCCCAGCGGAGACACCCGCCATGGCTCCGCCACTGGGTCTCGCCCAAGGAAAGCCCCAAATGTGGTTGCCAACACTACTCCTGTGGTACCCGTACCTTTGGCGGTGATGTTGGGCATCAGGCACCTGCGCTGCATGCCGTCCCACAGTTCTACCCGGGACGACTTAATGCAGGAGGGCTTCCTCTCCTTGGCAGAGGTCGCGTTCAGGCTCATCTCTGCACTCGTCCTCTGAACGATCCAGAGTGCAGGAGCCCGCGCCCACGTCCCCTTTTATACTCTAGCCAGGCTGTGTCATGCCATTGTGACACGGCCACCGCTCTATTGTGACACGGCCACCGCTCTATTGTGACACAGCCACTGCTCTATTGTGACACGGCCACTGCTCTGCTGACCAGGGAGATGTGGGTCGTGAGGCGCCAGTACCTCCCAGTCCATACCAGGCCTTCTGTAATCATGGATCAAGAAGTTTCGAGGCCCCTGGATCTTTCTCAGATAACCTCTGACGACCTTAATGTTGCGTCCTGTTAATAGAAGAGGGCGCGATGGTGGGTGGAGAAGTGTGCTTTGGGTGGCTCTGTCCTTCTGTGGATCTCCACGTGCATCCTTTAAGCTGGTCAAGGAGTAAATAGCATACCTACGGGCACAGTAACACGGCCATACCTCGCTGTTTTGGGCCACCTCACTTGATGTGGGGTTGCTGTATGATGGGGAGGACTGGTTTTGGGAGGAGCACGAATACTGCAGCCAACTCAGCGGTCTGGTCCCGTGTGTACAGAGCTCCTTCTATCATGGTGAAACCACTGAGGTCTGGGGGACTGGAACTCACCACATGTCTGCTAGGAAATACCTAACCTTCACTTGGGCTTTTGACCCCATTTCCACAGCATTCTCCTGGAGAAACTGGCAGCTCGAGGCCTGGACGGGTGTACGCTTTGTTGGGTTAAAAACTGGGCCCAAAGAGTCGTGGTGAATGGGGTTAAATCCAGCTGGAGGCCGGTCACTGGTGCTGGCCCCCAGGCATCAGTACTGGAACCACCAGCAGTGTTTTTTGCTCCTGGGCTCTGCCAGGCCCACCCAAAAAGCCCTTCTCTTCCCAACACGCCTCCAAAGCTGCAAACAAACCCTCTCCCCTCCGGCCACGAGCAGCCTCCTGCTTTGTTAGGCCTTCCCCACGCTGACAGGAGACGTGGCCTGCTGTGTCTGCGTGTCAGCAGAAGGGGGGACAACGCTGCAAAAGGGGGGACTTGTGTCTAAGGGCTGCAGGGAACGCAGCCACTCCATCGAGCAGCACCAAGGGGGCTCCCAACAGCCCCACTGCCCCCCAAACTCTGCCTTCCTACAAGGAGACAGCACCCAGCAAGGACTCAAATGTGAATCTACAGCATCTCCCTGCCACTGCCTCAAAGGAGGTTGAAGTAGGGTAGGGATCATTCCAGTGATTCTATGGTTCAAAACATTGCTTTGGTCTGAAAACTTACCATTTGAGACCAAAAGTAGGGCTTTTGACCCCCAAAGTGAAGCTTTAGATGATAAAAGAACCTTTGGGCTGCGAAAATGGGGTCTCAGGTCCTAAGGATAGGACTTCGGGTGTACAGATGAGGCTTTTGAGTCTAAAAATGAGACTTTGGATAATAAAGTGATTGGGTTCAAAAAAATAATGATGTTTTGGACATAAAAAGCTGGGGCTTTGAACATGCACATGAGGTTTTGGTTCACATATATGAGACTTTGTGTGCTAAAAATGGAAGTTTGGAAAAATAGAACAGGCTTTGGATGCTAATGTTGGTCTTGACCCTGAAAATGAGTCTTTAGACAGTAAAATGAGGCTTTGTACTGGCCGATTGATGGTTTTAGCCTTAATATTGAAGCTTTGGACTTATCAAATGAGCATCTAGGCCCTAAAAACATGACTTTAAGTAAAGAAAACATGGCTCTGGCCCCTAAAAATGAGGCTTTAGTTACAAACAGATGACACTCTGGTGCCTAAATTGAGGATTTGGATAACAAAAATGAGACTTCAGACTCTAAAATGAAGCTGTGAGCATAACACTGAGCTTGGATTCTCAGTGGAGGCTCTGGACACTGAAAATGAGGCTTTGAATCCTGAAACTGGAGCTTTGGACGCTCCAAAATGGGCTGTGGGGTCAAAGAATGAGGCTTTGTGTCCTAAACATCAGGCTTTGGACTGAGCAAATGAGGATTTGAGCCCTAGCTTTGAGGCTTTGGAAACTGAAAATGAGGCTCTGGACTCTAAAAGCGAAAGTTCACATGCTGGTGAAGTCCTCGTGAGTGACCTGCCCCTTCTTCCCAAGGCCATAAACCCGCTTTTTCTTCCCGAGCTCTAGCCAGAGCTACAGTGTCAGAGCTTGATGTTTTGGGCCTGAGGGCCAAAAGCCTAATGTTTTGGTCTGAAACCCTCCTTTTATGGCACAAGGCATCCAACTGTTCAACCCCTCCTGTTGAACTCCCAGGGCCTAACACAAAGTACCTAGAGCCTCATTTTGGGTTAAAACACCAGTACTGAAAGGTCAACGCCTTTATTTAGAGAACAGGCCATTTCATAATCTGCTCCATGAGCTGCCCTGGCACCAAGAGCAGACTGACAGGCCTGCAGCTCCCTGGACCCTCCTTCTGCCCCTTCTTTTGGATAGGCGTCACATTTGCTAGCTGCCACTCAGCTGGGACCTCCCTAAAACATCCCTGCGCTCATCCTCTGAACAATCCACGCTTGGAGCCTACAGACCGGGGCTTAGGCCCTGAAGAGAAGGGCTTGGGGCCTAAAGAGAGGGTCTGGGCCCTAAAGAGAGGGGTTTGCGGCCTGAAAGAGAAGGGTTTGGGCCCTAAAAAGAGGGTTTTGGGCCCTAAGGAGGATTTGGGCCCCAAAGAGCAGGGTTTGGGTCTCAAAGAGAAGGGTTTGGGCCCTAAAGAGAGGGTTTGGGGCCCTAAAGAGAGGGGTTTGGGGCCTGAAGAGAAAGGTATGGGGCCTAAAGAGAGGGGTTTGGGGCCTGAAGAGAGGGTTTTGGGCCTGAAAAAGAAGGGTTTGGGGCCTAAAGAGAGGGGTTTGGGCCCTAAGGAGAAGAAGGGTTTGGGCCTTAAAGAGAGGGTGTGGGGCTTAAAAAGCAGAAGGGTTTGGGCCGGAAAAAGTGGGGTTTGAGCCCTAAAGAGAGGGGTTTGGGGCCTAAAGAGAGGATTTGGGCCTGAAGGGAGGGGTTTGGGCCTAAAGAGAGGGGTTTGGGCCTAAAGAGAGGGGTTTGGGGCCTGAAGAGAGGGTTTGGGGCCTGAAAAAGAAGGGTTTGGGGCCTAAAGAGAGGCTTTGGGCCTGAAGGGAGGGGTTTGGCCTAAAGAGAGGGGTTTGGGGCCTGAAGAGAGGGTTTGGGCCTGAAAAAGAAGGGTTTGGGGCCTAAAGAGAGGGTTTGGGCCTAAAGAGAGGGGTTTGGGGCCTAAAGAGTGGGGTTTGGGCCTGACGGGAGGGGTTTGGGCCTAAAGAGGGGTTTGGGGCCTAAAGAGAGGGGTTTGGGGCCTAAAGAGTGGGGTTTGGGCCTGACGGGGGGGTTTGGGCCTGAAGGGAGGGCTTTAGGCCCTGAAGGGAGTGGTTTGGGCCCTAAAAGGAGGGGTTTGGTCACTAAAGGGAGGGGCAAACATTTATGGTGTATTACAGTCATGGTGACGGTGGCCCTGTTGGCAGTTATGACGTAAGTGATGACCTCATTAGCCGTGTCACAATGGGGTGGGGGGCGGTGGCAGGGTATAAAAGGGGTGGGGGTGGCGCAGGGACCCTTCATCTCTGGAGAAATATCCGGAGAGCGAGCGCAAGGATGCAAAAACGCGTCACTTTTGCCGACGAGGTGCTGCCCAACGTGAGGCGGACCCCTGTCCACTTCTGGGATGGGATGAAGGTCCCGTGCCTCACGCCCAGCATCACCTCCAAGGGTAGGTGCCGAAATTTGGGGCTTTTTGTGGCGGGAGACCTGGCTCTGTGTGGAGGTCTCTTTTTTTTGGGGTCGGGGATGTGATGGATCTTTATGTAACGGGTTTTGGTAGGCGCCTAAATTTGGGTGGGGCTTTTTGTGGGGGGGAGACCTGGCTCTGTGTGGTAGGGTCTCTGTTTTTTGGGGTCGGGGATGTGATGGATCTTTATGCAACGCGGGTTTTGGGGTGATGGAAGGGTGGTAGCCACGAGAGGCGGTGTGTGACCAGATTTTTTTTTGCCTTTCAGAGAAAATAAGCGTCTGGGATGCGGTGTCAGCCTACATCCACGAACACCTCCTGCTGCACCAGGTGGGTTGGCACCCCCGTCCCCCTCGTTCCCCTCCTGAAAAGCAGGAAACTCACCCCAAAAAGCCCCACAGGCATCGCACAAGCGCGGTTGTGGTAGGCGGTGTGACGTCTGATCCTTAACCATTTTTCTTTCTTTTCTCTGCCATTTCCAGGGCGTCCGAATTCCTGCCCTCGGCTCCTTCGACGTTGTCCCCAAATTGGTGAAGGACGGGAACAAGACCCTGATTTTGCAGATGCCCACGTTCCGCCTGGCCAGGAACCTCGTCGTCACCCACAGCCTCACCGCCAACAAGGAGTACCTGCCAGGTAGGGCAGGGGGTTAATCCCCTGCTGACCCCCTCCCTCAATATCAGGTGTTTCCCCCCCAAAAATAAATCAAAGCATCCCCTGCATGGAGCAGGACTGTGGTGGTTTGACTCGGGTGGGCGGCTGAGCTCAACCACAGCCCCTTTCTCACTCCCCCTCCTCAAAGAGGGGAGAAAAGATGTGAAAAGGGCTCAAAGTTGAGATAAGGATTAGCTCCCACACGGCTCCGTCCCACGGGGTCCCCCCCCCGTCCCAAACTGCTCCATCCTGGGTCCCCCACAGGCAGCAGCTCCCCCAGACGCCCTCCTCCTGCGTGGGCTCCTCTGCAGGGGCTGCAGCGCGGAGATCTGCTCCGTGTGGCACCCATGGGTGCAGGGGACAGCTCTGCTCCACCAGGGACCCCCCTACAGGCTGCAGGGGGGCTTCTCCCCTCCTCCTTCACTGCCCTGGGGTCTGTGAGGCTGTTCCTCACCCCTCGCTCCCCCAGCTGCCATCCCCCAGCAGGTTTTGTTTGTTTGTTTGTTTGTTTGTGTTTTGTTGTTGTTGTTTTTGTGGGTTTTTTGTTTTGTTTTTTGTTTGTTTGTTGTTTTGTTTGTTTGGTTTTTTTGGTTTTGTTTTTTTTGTTTTTTTCGTGGTTCTTTGTTTCTGTGTTTTTTGTTTGTGTTTTTTTTTTGTTTTTTGTTTTTGTTGTTTTTGTTTTTTGTTTTTTTTGTTGTTGTTGTTTTTTTGTTGTTTGTTTTTGTTTGTTTGTTTTGTTGTTTTGTTGTTTGTTTGTGTTTTGTTTTGTTTTGTTTTGTTTGTTGGTTTTTTGTGTTTTTTTGTTGCTTTTTTTTTTTTGTTGCTTGTTGCTTGTTTTTTTTTTGTTTGTTTTGTTTTTTTGTTGTTTGTTTTTGTTGCTTGGTTTGTGATTGTTTGTTTTGTTTTAGATTTTTTGTTGTTTTTTGTATGTTCGTTTGTGTTTTGTTTTGTTTTTGTTTTTGTTTTTGTGGTTTTGGTTTGTTTTTTATTGTTTGTTTGTGTGTTTTTTTGTTGTTGTTGGTTGTTTGTGATTGTTTGTTTGTTTGTTTGTTTGTTTTTTTTTTCTCTGTCTCCAATCTGCTCTCCCAGAGGCACAAAAAACCTCGCTTACTGCCCAGGCTCTGGCCAGCAGCAGGACCCTTCCCCAACACGGGGGTGACGCCTGCCACGGGGAAGGGCTGCTGGTGACCGCCCCCATCCCTCTCGTGTCGTTTTCCAGGCCACAAGGAGCTGGAGCCCCTCCACTACCCCGAGGTGGCCGCCCAAATCTGCCTGTCCTCGCAGAGGGTGGAGAGCTGCATCCAGGGCACCACGTCCCTCATCTCTCGCTGCGGGGAAGGGGGAGAACATCGCCCTGGTCCTGAGGGACGTGGGGGTGCTCCTCATCGAAGGCACGAGGGTGGAAATGAAATTCTATTCCGAATTCCTGCAGAAGGTGTCCGGGAAGGAGAACCTTCAAAAAGCCTTTTTCAAGGTGAGGGTTTTGTTTTCCCCACGGCCTGGGCAGCCTCACAAAGGGGTAGCAACGCTTGCCCTTGGCCCACCGAGACCTTTTGGGTTGGAGTTTTTGGCCACGACCGAGGCCAGAGGACATTTGCCATCTCCTTGCAGGTCCCCCAGCTGATGGACGTGGTGGTGTCCCGGGGGGCACCCTTGGCCTCCCTGACCTTCTCTGGCCGTGTCATCGTCTTCCCCGAGTGAGTATTTTGTGGCTGTGGCCGCTGCTCGGGTTCTCCTTGCACCCATGGGTGCTTCTTTGCTGGACGAGCCCATTGCAAAGTCCAGGAAGGAATTTGGGGATGGGGCTTTGATGGCAACGTGGAAATGGGGTGATTGTGGCGCGCCCTGGGGTCACGCTGAGGTCTTCTTTTGCCAGGTTTGAGATGGAGAGCATGCCCAAAAAAACGCCCCAGGAGCACTCCAAGGAGAAGAAAGAAGGGGCTTTTCCTCTTCTCGGCCAAGCTGGGGGAAGAAAAGCAGCTGCTGGTTCCCTTCGAAGGGACGGGAAACTGAGTCCTGGTGAGAAAACCCATCGTGGAGCACCCAAAAGCTCTGCCTTGCACCACATCTTGTCACCGCGCCTCCAAAACGGAGCCCCCGGGTGCGAGGTGCCTGATGTGCCCGGCCCTGGGCGCTGCAGGAGGACGGGGATCAAGACACCCCCTAAAATTGGCCGTAGCCAGCTCCTTTCTCCCAGAACTCGGCCCCCCAAAAAAAATATTGAGGCTTAGAAAGGAGCCGGGCGAGGGCTGGTGCCAAGGAGGGTCTCGGGGAGCAGCCTCAGCACCCGGCGTGTCCCCGGGGACGGCGGCATCACGGAAATGTTCTTCTAACACCTCTCCTTCCCAAATTTTAGGCAAAGGTCTCGGGCTTCCTTCCCTTGCCCCCACGGGTCGACAGAAGAAGCAGCCCTGAAGGGGGAGGCGCAGAAGGCAGGGAAGGCTCCCTTGAGGTGAGGCTGGGGGCTCCAAATGGGTGGGATGAGGCCGCCGGGAGCCCCCCCAAATTTCAGGGCTGCAGCATCCAGCGCTGCATGAGGGGGTGGGGGGTGCAGGATGCGACCCCAAAACCATCCTGGATTCTTGGTTCTTCCATCAGGCTGCCGGCCATCCCGGGGACTCCTCGCAAGGCCGAAAAATCGTCACCCAAAGGCAAAACGGGACAGGCAAAGACACCCGGAGCCTCGAGGCAGAGAGCAGGAAGAGGAGCGGGGATGTTTCCCCCCTGCGTGGGGGAAAACCCGGCAGCCAAAAAGCCCCCCCGGCCCCCGGGACCCCCAGAGCTGTCCTTCCCCTGTGATAAGCGTCCCCGGCCAGCTCGGAGGCCAGCCTCCCCGAGGAGCCCCCCTACAACGTCTACAGGCTGCAGCCCCCGGGAAAAGAGGGGCAGAAAGGTTAAGGAAACAGGCCTGAGACCTTCTGGACAATGCTAAAGGAACCTCAGAAGAACATGTTATCCATGAACGGCACCAAGAGCACCCGCCCGGTGGCACCCGTGCCCAGAAGACCCGTGTCAGCCCAACCCAAACCGCCGAAAACTGGGCCGGGGCTCTCCGTTTTGTGGCCCCGGCCACCCTAAAACCCGGGCTTTGATCGCCAGACCTAGCGAGGAGGCCATCGGAGTTGGCAAAAAGAGGTGGGTGATCCACATCAGCATCATTTTGGGGGGCTCAAGCCTTGTAGGGAAGCAGAGTTTTTTGGGGACAGCGGGGTCTTTCCAAAGGGATCTCAGTTTTGAGCCAGGTTGGCTCAATCCACCCCAAACCTTTGTCTCCTCCAGCACTAGACTCAATCCCCAAATTTCTCTCTTCTGTTGGCGCACAGACAACACCAGGCCATGTTTTTTAGGGTTTGGAAGGCCTCAAAAAGCTCTTGGCCACAGAGGAGAGGGTGTTTTTTTTGTAGCTGGGTGCTGCTTTCAAGGCTTTTTGGGAAAAGAAAGGCTTTTTTTGCGGGCCTAGCAGAATTTAGGAGCAAAACCCCGCTGCTGACCAGGGCCTGGGGAAAATATGAGGTGAAAAACGAGGGAAATGGTGGCCCTGACATCACTGTCAGGATTTGAACCATCCCAGCCTGTGCATGAGGGTATAGAAGGCAAAAAAAATCTAAAAGTGATTTTTTTCTCTGTTCTTCGCAGATCTCCATCGTTCTTCCTGACACGATTGCCTCAGGAAGGAGGTGGAGGAAAACACGATGGAATCCCAAAAAACTGTTGAGTTTTTTGTTTTTATTTACGAGGCTCGTTCGTGAGGAGGGGGGTGAAGGTTGCTTTCCAGACAGGTTCAAAGCCCCCAAAACCATCAGCACCTCCCAAAAAGTGGGGCCCAAGGCTCCTTGTAAGTTTGGAGTCCCTGAGGTCCTTTGCAGTCCCCTCCTCCTGCCACGCCCCAGCTTGGCAGAATTCCACAGCTCAGAACAAGGAAAAAACGTCAAACGAAGGGATTATAACTAATAAATTTTAATAGTGCAAAGTATTTTGAGGGAGGAGAAGGGAAAAATTCGCGAACGAGGAATTTTGGCTCAGCTTTGCCACCCGGGATGGTGGCAGGCTTTAGCTCCACTGCAAAGTGTAGGCTTTGCCTAATTCCAGTTCCAGCTGGGTGGTTAAAAGGACCTTGAAAAAGCAAAAGAAATTTAAAAAAAAAAACGGTGAGTTATTCAGATCTGAAGACATCTTGCTTTTTGTTTCTCATACATTACCAAAAATTTGCCTAAATGCCGTAAATTTCTTTATTCCGGATCATGAGGTTCTCATCCCCTCCCCCCCCCCCCTTTATTTTGGGGGCTAAACCCCCCAGTTTTGGGGGCCTAATGCTTCATTTTGGGGGTAAACCGACAATTTTGGGGACCTAATGCCTCATTTTCAGGTTAAATCCCCCAGTTTTGGAGGCCTAATGCCTCCTTTTCAGGCCTAACCCCCCAGTTTTGGAGGCCTAATATGTCATTTTGGGCCTAAACCCCCAATTTGGGGGCCTAATGGCTCATTTTCAGGCTCAACCCCCAGTTTTGGGGTCCTAATGCCTCATTTTGGGGATGAAATCCCCCCATTTAGGAGCCTAATGCCTCATTTATGGACTAAAACCCCCAATATGGCGGGCCTAATGCTTCATTTTGGGGACTAAACCCCCCAGTTTTGGGGTCCTAATGCCTCATTTTGGGGATTAAATCCCCCCATTTAGGGAGCCTAATGCCTCATTTATGGGACTAAAACCCCCAATATGGCGGGCCTAATGCCTCATTTTGGGGACTAAACCCCCCAGTTTTGGGGACCTAATGCCTCATTTTGGGGATTAAACCCCCAATTTTGGGGGATAATGCCTCATTTTCAGGCCTAACCCCCCAATATGGCGGGCCTAATACTTCGTTTGGGTGTTCAGCTGATTCAAGGATGGAAGCTGAAATTCCTTGAAGTGACCCCACAACCCCGTAACCCCCCCAAAAAAATCCTGCCCCCCCCCCCCTTGTGCCCCCCCGGCACTTATGGTGCAGGTGGGTTTTGGGGGTGCCGGTCCCCTCGAAGCCCCAGCTGAGGTGGTTGTGGCCCCTGTAGGCCTGCACCATGGGGGGGCGGGGGGAGCTGGTTGGGGGGGGGGGGCAGTGGGGGGGGGGGTGTTCGGGGGGGGGCTCGCTCGGCTCAAGGGGCACAGGTCCTGCTGGGGAGGGAGGCTGGGGGCAGCCTTGGGGGCACCCCATGGCAGGGGACCTCGTGGGGAGGCCCGGGTCCCTTTTTGGGGTCATTCAGGAGCCTTTTGGGGCACCCAGGTCCCTTTTTGGGGTCATTCAGGTCCCTTTTGGGTGCCAGGGTCCCTTTTTGGGACAATCCAAGCCCCTTTTTGGGGTCAGACCCTTTTGTGGAACCCAGGTCCCTTTTTGGGGTCACCCAGGTCCCTAATGCTTCATTTTGGGGATAACCGACAATTTTTGGGGCCTAATGCCTTTTTTTTTTGGGGCTAAAACCCAGTTTGGCTGGGATCTCTCGGAAAGCAGTCTTGACCAGGACCCCTTGTGGGACCCTTATGGGGCCTCCTGGGTGACCCCACAACCCCGTAACTTCCCCCAAAAAATCCTGCCCCCTCCCCTGTGCCCCCCCCCCGGCCACGTACGGTGCAGGTGACGGTTTTGGAGTGCCGGTCTCCTGGAAGCCCAGCTTTTTGGGGTCATCCACCCTTTTGGGGCACCCGTCCCTTTTTGGGGGTCATTCAGGACCCGTTTGGGTGCCAGGGTCCCTTTTTTCGGGACACCCAGGTCCTTTTTTGGGGTCATCTAGGTCCCTTTTGGGGACAAGCTGGGTGGCCAGGGCCCCCTTTTTGGGACACCCAGGTCCCTTTTGGGGACATCCAAGCCCCTTTTTGGGGTCATCCAGTCCTTTTGGGGTCATTCTGGGGAAGCCGGGTGGCCTTGGCCCCTTTTGGGAAGGAAACCCACAACCCCGGCTTCTTTTTTTTTTTGGGGGGGGACCCCTGGGAAAATCCGGGACCCCATTGGGGTCACCCAGGTGCTGGGGTCCTTTGGGGACACCGGGACCCCCCCCCCCTTGGGGAACACAGGACTGGGGTCCCCTACATGGGGGGGGGACCCACACAGAGGGGACGGCGCTGTCACTGGGGGGGTGGGACACCTGGGGGTCTCCTGTAATGGGGGGGGCACCCAGATCGCCTTGGGGGGGGGGGGCCTCTGGGTCTTTGGGGGGGGAAATTTGGGCCCTGAAGAAGTCGTTTTTCGTTTTGCCCTGAAGGGGAACGGTTTGGGCCCTAAAGAGAAGGTCTGGGGCCCAAAAAAGAAGGGCTTGGGCCCTAAAAAATCGGGGCTTAGGCCCTGAAGAGAGGGGATTGGGGCCCAAAAGGGAGGATTTGGGCCCAAAAGGGAGGGATTTGGGCCCTAAAGGGGAAGGGTTTGGGCCCTAAAGGGAGGGTTTGGGCCCTAAAGGGAAGGGTTTGTGGGCCCTAAATGGAGGCGTGAGGCTCTAAAATTAATAGTGGAAACCCTCTGAAGGAAGTTTGGACCCGAAAATGAGTATAGGAGACTGGAAATAACCCGATCTAAAAAATTAGTCTTTGGACCATAAAAAGCAGATCTGGATCCTAATTTGATGTTTTGGATCGTAAAACAGAACGCTTGGATCTTAAAACAGTGCCTTGAGCTCTCAAAAGCAGTTTGGGGTTCGGGACCCCGAAAGGAGCTTTGGGCTCTTATAATGGGGTTGGTGGACACTCAAATGTGGCTTTTGGGTTCCAAAATGAAGGCTTTGGGCCCCCAAAAGGGGCTTGGGGCACTAAAAATGGTGCTTTAGGTGCGTGCGATGGGACTTGCGGCTCAGAGCAGCCAAAGCCCAAATGCGGAATGGCACCACAAGGGCAGCTCTGAGAGGAAAATTAACTTATTACATTAATTAATTATAAATTAATTATAAAATTAATTATGCCTCCCAGGGGAAATAAATAACAAACTGCACGGCCCAAGTCCCATTCCTGCCCCTTTGGCATCTGCAGCCGCCTGCCCCAAGTCAGCCGGGTGCAAATCCTTGTTTTTAATGTCATGTCCCGATTAAAACAGCACTTTGGGGAAAATGAAAGCAAAAATTAAAGCCAAATAAATAGAGCAAACTTGCCAGCACTACAGTTTTGGGTTTGGTTTGGTGCCTTTTATTGCTAATGTGCAAAAAGCAAGCGAACTCGGACACGCACCCCAATCCTTTTTGGGTTTTGCTTCTTGAGGTAACGCTTCCAAATTTCCAAAATCTCGGATTCTGTGGGGGGTCTCTCCTGTTCCAGGCGCCTTGCTCTGGCCGGTTTGGGTTCCAGCATCTCGGATGTGCTGTCCAGGGTGGGCAGAATGTCCTCTCTTCATTCTTCTCCTGGGACCCCATGAGATGTCGATGGCCCCATTTTGTCCATCCCTGGTGTTCCGCTTCAGGCTGTGAGTTTGTCCTGGTCTTGGCTGGCCAAAGGCTGGTTTTTGGCAAGAGGCAGCCCCGGGATTGCTGGCAGCTGGCTGAAAACACATCAAAAATGTCTTCATGAGCACACGATGGCATTGGGGCCGCATCCTGCACCCTGAAAACGTGACCCTGCTTGCACACCACGGGCCCCATCCACCCCTCCGGGTGCTGCTTTCAGCAATTTGGGGTGGCCCCAGCCGGAGTGTTTGGGGCTGGGCGAGGGGCTCCCTGCTGGGGAGAAGACAACCGTGAGCCTCCGGCCTCACCTGATCCCGGATTCCTTCTTGTCCTCCTGTGCTTTTGTTTCCTTCAGCCTTGGGAGCTCGTGTTTCGGGATGCTCGCACGCACGGTGAAAGGCATGTCGAGCAATCCCCCTGAGGCTGGAAAGGACGGACATGGTCAGAAGTGGGGTGCTGCTGCTGCCCGACATCGGTCCCAGGGGGGTGCAGAGGGTCTCGGACCCCCATCCTCCTGCTCAGGCACCGTGGCCACTTCCCACCCCAGGGCTCAGTTTTGGGGAAGCCACCGAGATGTGGGGACAAAAGGCTGTGCCCAGCTGTGCCCGTCCCTTTGGCGGTGATGTTGGGCATCAGGCACCTGCGCTGCATGCCGTCCCACAGCTCTACCCGGGTCGGCTTCATGCAGGAGGGTTTCCTCTCCTTGGCAGAGGTCGCGTTCAGGCTCATCCCTGCGCTCGTCCTCTGAACAATCCACTCTTGGAGCCGACAGACCAGGGCTTAGGCCCTGAAGAGACGGGCTTGGGGCCTAAATTTGAGGGGTTTGGGGGCTAAGGAGAGGGTTTTGGGGCCTGAAGAGAGGGTTTGGGGCCTGAAAAAGAAGGGTTTGGGGCCTAAAGAGAGGGGTTTGGGGCCTAAGGAGAAGAAGGGTTTGGGCCTTAAAGAGAGGGTGTGGGGCTTAAAAAGCAGAAGGGTTTGGGCCGGAAAAAGTGGGGTTTGAGCCCTAAAGAGAGGGGTTTGGGGCCTAAAGAGAGGCTTTGGGCCTGAAGGGAGGGGTTTGGGCCTAAAGAGAGGGGTTTGGGACCTGAAGAGAGGGTTTTGGGCCTGAAAAAGAAGGGTTTTGAGCCTAAAGAGAGGGTTTGGGGGCCTAAAGAGAGGTTTGGGCCTGAAGGGAGGGCTTTAGGCCCTGAAGGGAGTGGTTTGGGCCCTAAAAGGAGGGGTTTGGTCACTAAAGGGAGGGGCAAACATTTATGGTGTATTACAGTCATGGTGACGGTGGCCCTGTTGGCAGTTATGACGTAAGTGATGACCTCATTAGCCGTGTCACAATGGGGCGGGGGGGCGGTGGCAGGGTATAAAAGGGGTGGGGGGTGGCGCAGGGACCCTTCATCTCTGGAGAAATATCCGGAGAGCGAGCGCAAGGATGCAAAAACGCGTCACTTTTGCCGACGAGGTGCTGCCCAACGTGAGGCGGACCCCCGTCCACTTCTGGGATGGGATGAAGGTCCCGTGCCTCACGCCCAGCATCACCTCCAAGGGTAGGTGCCGAAATTTGGGGCTTTTTGTGGCGGGGAGACCTGGCTCTGTGTGGAGGTCTCTTTTTGGGGTTGGGGATGTGATGGATCTTTATGTAACGTGGGTTTTGGTAGGCGCCTAAATTTGGGTCTTCTCGTGGCGGGGAGACCTGGCTCTGTGTGGTAGGGTCTCTGTTTTTTGGGGTCGGGGATGTGATGGATCTTTATGCAACGCGGGTTTTGGGGTGATGGAAGGGTGGTAGCCACGAGAGGCGGTGTGTGACCAGATTTTTTTTTGCCTTTCAGAGAAAATAAGCGTCTGGGATGCGGTGTCAGCCTACATCCACGAACACCTCCTGCTGCACCAGGTGGGTTGGCACCCCCGTCCCCCTCGTTCCCCTCCTGAAAAGCAGGAAACTCACCCCAAAAAGCCCCACAGGCATCGCACAAGCGCGGTTGTGGTAGGCGGTGTGACGTCTGATCCTTAACCATTTTTCTTTCTTTTCTCTGCCATTTCCAGGGCGTCCGAATTCCTGCCCTCGGCTCCTTCGACGTTGTCCCCAAATTGGTGAAGGACGGGAACAAGACCCTGATTTTGCAGATGCCCACGTTCCGCCTGGCCAGGAACCTCGTCGTCACCCACAGCCTCACCGCCAACAAGGAGTACCTGCCAGGTAGGGCAGGGGGTTAATCCCCTGCTGACCCCCTCCCTCAATATCAGGTGTTTCCCCTCCCAAAAATAAATCAAAGCATCCCCTGCATGGGGCAGGACTGTGGTGGTTTGACTCGGGTGGGCGGCTGAGCTCAACCACAGCCCCTTTCTCACTCCCCCTCCTCAAAGAGGGGAGAAAAGATGTGAAAAGGGCTCAAAGTTGAGATAAGGATTAGCTCCCACACGGCTCCGTCCCACGGGGTCCCCCCCCCGTCCCAAACTGCTCCATCCTGGGTCCCCCACAGGCAGCAGTTCCCCCCAGACGCCCTCCTCCTGCGTGGGCTCCTCTGCAGGGGCTGCAGCGCGGAGATCTGCTCCGTGTGGCACCCATGGGTGCAGGGGGACAGCTCTGCTCCACCAGGGACCCCCCTACAGGCTGCAGGGGGCTTCTCCCCCTCCTCCTTCACTGCCCTGGGTGTCTGTGAGGCTGTTCCTCACCCCTCGCTCCCCCAGCTGCCATCCCCCAGCAGGTTTTGTTTGTTCGTTTCTTTGTTTGTGTTTTGTTGTTGTTGCTGTTGTTTTTTGTGTTTTTGTTTTGTTTTTTGTGTTTTTGTTTTGTTTTGTTTGTTTGTTTTGTTTGTTTGTTTGTTTTGTTTTTGTTTTGTTTTTTTTTTTTCTTGGTTTGTTTCTGTGTTTTTTGTTTGTGTTTTTTTTTGTTTCTGTTTTGTTTTTTGTTTTTTTGTTTTTGTTTTTCTTTTTGTTTGTTTGTGTTTTGTTTGTTTGTTTTTTTGTTGTCTTGTTTGTATTTTTTTGTTTTGTATTGTTTTTGTTGGTTTGTTTGTGTTTTTTTGTTGTTGTTGCTTTTTTTGCTTTTTTTGTTGCTTGTTTTGTTGCTTGTTTTTTTTTTGTTTTTTTGTTTTTCTTTTTTTTTTGTTGTTGTTTCTTTGTTTTTTTGTTGCTTGGTTTGTGATTGTTTTGTTTTGTTTTAGTTTTTTTGTAGTTTTTTTTGTATGTTCGTTTGTGTTTTGTTTTGTTTTTGTTTTTGTTTTTTTGTTTTGGTTTTGTTTTGTTTTTTATTGGTTTGTTTGTGTGTTTTTTTTTGTTGTTGTTGGTTTGTTTGTGATTGTTTGTTTGTTTGTTTGTTTGTTTGTGTTTTTTTTTTTCTCTGTCTCCAATCTGCTCTCCCAGAGGCACAAAAAACCTCGCTTACTGCCCAGGCTCTGGCCAGCAGCAGGACCCTTCCCCAACACGGGGCAGCTTCTAGATCCCTCTCACAGCACCCCCCTCCCCGTGCCCCCCTGCTGCCAAACCTTTTCTATCCAAAACCCACCACAAGGTCCCAAACCGAAGCCTTTTTGGGTGACGCCTGCCACGGGGAAGGGCTGCTGGTGACCGCCCCCATCCCTCTCGTGTCGTTTTCCAGGCCACAAGGAGCTGGAGCCCCTCCACTACCCCGAGGTGGCCGCCCAAATCTGCCTGTCCTCGCAGAGGGTGGAGAGCTGCATCCAGGGCACCACGTCCCTCATCTCTCGCTGCGTGGGGAAGGGGGAGAACATCGCCCTGGTCCTGAGGGACGTGGGGGTGCTCCTCATCGAAGGCACGAGGGTGGAAATGAAATTCTATTCCGACTTCCTGCAGAAGGTGTCCGGGAAGGAGAACCTTCAAAAAGCCTTTTTCAAGGTGAGGGTTTTGTTTTCCCCACGGCCTGGGCAGCCTCACAAAGGGGTAGCAACGCTTGCCCTTGGCCCACCGAGACCTTTTGGGTTGGAGTTTTTGGCCACGACCGAGGCCAGAGGACATTTGCCATCTCCTTGCAGGTCCCCCAGCTGATGGACGTGGTGGTGTCCCAGGGGGCACCCTTGGCCTCCCTGACCTTCTCTGGCCGTGTCATCGTCTTCCCCGAGTGAGTATTTTTGTGGCTGTGGCCGCTGCTCGGGTTCTCCTTGCACCCATGGGTGCTTCTTTGCTGGACGAGCCCATTGCAAAGTCCAGGAAGGAATTTGGGGATGGGGCTTTGATGGCAACGTGGAAATGGGGTGATTGTGGCGCGCCCTGGGGTCACGCTGAGGTCTTCTTTTGCCAGGTTTGAGATGGAGAGCATGCCCAAAAAAACGCCCCAGGAGCACTCCAAGGAGAAGAAAGAAGGGGCTTTTCCTCTTCTCGGCCAAGCTGGGGGAAGAAAAGCAGCTGCTGGTTCCCTTCGAAGGGACGGGAAACTGAGTCCTGGTGAGAAAACCCATCGTGGAGCACCCAAAAGCTCTGCCTTGCACCACATCTTGTCACCGCGCCTCCAAAACGGAGCCCCCGAGTGCGAGGTGCCTGATGTGCTCGGCCCTGGGCGCTGCAGGAGGACGGGGATCAAGACACCCCCTAAAATTGGCCGTAGCCAGCTCCTTTCTCCCAGAACTCGGCCCCCCAAAAAAAATATTGAGGCTTAGAAAGGAGCCGGGCGAGGGCTGGTGCCAAGGAGGGTCTCGGGGAGCAGCCTCAGCACCCGGCGTGTCCCCGGGGACGGCGGCATCACGGAAATGTTCTTCTAACACCTCTCCTTCCCAAATTTTAGGCAAAGGTCTCGGGCTTCCTTCCCTTGCCCCCACGGCGTCGACAGAAGAAGCAGCCCTGAAGGGGGAGGCGCAGAAGGCAGGGAAGGCTCCCTTGAGGTGAGGCTGGGGGCTCCAAATGGGTGGGATGAGGCCGCCGGGAGCCCCCCCAAATTTCAGGGCTGCAGCATCCAGCGCTGCATGAGGGGGTGGGGGGTGCAGGATGCGACCCCAAAACCATCCTGGATTCTTGGTTCTTCCATCAGGCTGCCGGCCATCCCGGGGACTCCTCGCAAGGCCGAAAAATCGTCACCCAAAGGCAAAACAGGACAGGCAAAGACACCCGGAGCCTCGAGGCAGAGAGCAGGAAGAGGAGCGGGGATGTTTCCTCCCTGCGTGGGGGAAAACCCGGCAGCCAAAAAGCCCCCCCGGCCCCCGGGACCCACAGAGCTGTCCTTCCCCGTGATAAGCGTCTCATCACCGGCCAGCTCGGAGGCCAGCCTCCCCGAGGAGCCCCCCTACAACGTCTACAGGCTGCAGCCCCCGGGAAAAGAGGGGGCAGAAAGGTTAAAAAACAGGCCCGAAACCTTCTGGACGGTGCTAAAAGAACCTCAGAAGAAGGCGTTATCCGTGAACGGCACCAACAGCACCCGCCCGGTGGCACCCGCGCCCCGAAAACCCGTGTCAGCCCAACCCAAACCGCCAAAAACTGGGCCGGGGCTCTCCGTTTTGTGGCCCCGGCCACCCTAAACTTCGGGCTTTGAGCGCCCGACCCAGCGAGGAGGCCATCAGAGTTGGCAAAAAGAGGTGGGTGATCCACATCAGCATCATTTTGGGGGGCTCAAGCCTTGTAGGGAAGCAGAGTTTTTTGGGGACAGCGGGGTCTTTCCAAAGGGATCTCAGTTTTGAGCCACGGGTTGGCTCAATCCACCCCAAAACCTTTGTCTCCTCCAGCACTAGACTCAAATCCCCAAATTTCTCTCTTCTGTTGGCGCACAGACAACACCAGGCCATGTTTTTTAGGGTTTGGAAGGCCTCAAAAAGCTCTTGGCCACAGAGGAGAGGGTGGTTTTTTTTGTAGCTGGGTGCTGCTTTCAAGGCTTTTTGGGAAAAGAAAGGCTTTTTTTGTGCGGGCCTAGCAGAATTTAGGAGCAAAACCCCGCTGCTGACCAGGGCCTGGGGAAAATATGAGGTGAAAAACGAGGGAAATGGTGGCCCTGACATCACTGTCAGGATTTGAAACCATCCCCAGCCTGTGCATGAGGGTATAGAAGGCTAAAAAAAATCTAAAAAGTGATTTTTTTCTCTGTTTCTTCGCAGATCTCCATCGTTCTTCCTGACACGATTGCCTCAGGAAGGAGGTGGAGGAAAACACGATGGAATCCCAAAAAAACTGTTGAGTTTTTGTTTTTATTTACGAGGCTCGTTCGTGAGGAGGGGGGTGAAGGTTGCTTTCCAGACAGGTTCAAAGCCCCCAAAACCATCAGCACCTCCCAAAAAGTGGGGCCCAAGGCTCCTTGTAAGTTTGGAGTCCCTGAGGTCCTTTGCAGTCCCCTCCTCCTGCCACGCCCCAGCTTGGCAGAATTCCACAGCTCAGAACAAGGAAAAAACGTCAAACGAAGGGATTATAACTAATAAATTTTAATAGTGCAAAGTATTTTGAGGGAGGAGAAGGGAAAAATTCGCGAACGTGAGGAATTTTGGCTCAGCTTTGCCACCCGGGATGGTGGCAGGCTTTTAGCTCCACTGCAAAGTGTAGGCTTTGCCTAATTCCAGTTCCAGCTGGGTGGTTAAAAGGACCTTGAAAAAGCAAAAGAAATTTAAAAAAAAAAAAACGGTGAGTTATTCAGATCTGAAGACATCTTGCTTTTTTGTTTCTCATACATTACCAAAAATTTGCCTAAATGCCGTAAATTTCTTTATTCCGGATCATGAGGTTCTCATCCCCTCCCCCCCCCCCCTTTATTTTGGGGGCTAAACCCCCCAGTTTTGGGGGCCTAATGCTTCATTTTGGGGGTAAACCGACAATTTTGGGGACCTAATGCCTCATTTTCAGGTTAAATCCCCCAGTTTTGGAGGCCTAATGCCTCCTTTTCAGGCCTAACCCCCCAGTTTTGGAGGCCTAATATGTCATTTTGGGCCTAAACCCCCAATTCTGGGGGCCTAATGGCTCATTTTCAGGCTCAACCCCCCAGTTTTGGGGTCCTAATGCCTCATTTTGGGGATGAAATCCCCCCATTTAGGGAGCCTAATGCCTCATTTATGGGACTAAAACCCCCAATATGGCGGGCCTAATGCTTCATTTTGGGGACTAAACCCCCCAGTTTTGGGGTCCTAATGCCTCATTTTGGGGATTAAATCCCCCCATTTAGGGAGCCTAATGCCTCATTTATGGGACTAAAACCCCCAATATGGCGGGCCTAATGCCTCATTTTGGGGACTAAACCCCCCAGTTTTGGGGACCTAATGCCTCATTTTGGGGATTAAACCCCCAATTTGGGGGGATAATGCCTCATTTTCAGGCCTAACCCCCCAATATGGCGGGCCTAATACTTCAGTTTGGGTGTTCAGCTGATTCAAGGATGGAAGCTGAAATTCCTTGAAGTGACCCCACAACCCCGTAACCCCCCCAAAAAAATCCTGCCCCCCCCCTTGTGCCCCCCCCCGGCCACTTATGGTGCAGGTGATGGTTTTGGGGGTGCCGGTCCCCTCGAAGCCCCAGCTGAGGTGGTTGTGGCCCCTGTAGGCCTGCACCATGGGGGGGGCTCGGGGGGAGCTGTTGGGGGGGGGGGGGGCAGTGGGGGGGGGGGGTGTTCGGGGGGGGGCTCGCTCGGCTCCAGGGGGCACAGGTCCTGCTGGGGAGGGAGGCTGGGGGCAGCCTTGGGGGCACCCCAGTGGCAGGGGACCTCGTGGGGAGGCCCGGGTCCCTTTTTGGGGTCATTCAGGAGCCTTTTGGGGCACCCAGGTCCCTTTTTGGGGTCATTCAGGTCCCTTTTGGGTGCCAGGGTCCCCTTTTTGGGACATCCAAGCCCCTTTTTGGGGTCATTCGGAACCCTTTTGTGGAACCCAGGTCCCTTTTGGGGTCACCCAGGTCCCTAATGCTTCATTTTGGGGATAAACCGACAATTTTGGGGGCCTAATGCCTTTTTTTGGGGGCTAAAACCCCAGTTTGGCTGGGATCTCTCGGAAAGCAGTCTTGACCAGGACCCCTTGTGGGACCCTTATGGGGCCTCCTGGGTGACCCCACAACCCCGTAACTTCCCCCAAAAAAATCCTGCCCCCTCCCCTGTGCCCCCCCCCCGGCCACGTACGGTGCAGGTGACGGTTTTGGAGGTGCCGGTCTCCTGGAAGCCCAGCTTTTTGGGGTCATCCAGGACCCTTTTGGGGCACCCAGGTCCCTTTTTGGGGTCATTCAGGACCCGTTTGGGTGCCAGGGTCCCTTTTTTCGGGACACCCAGGTCCTTTTTGGGGTCATCTAGGTCCCTTTTGGGGACAGCTGGGTGCCAGGGCCCCTTTTTGGGGACACCCAGGTCCCTTTTGGGGACATCCAAGCCCCTTTTTGGGGTCATCCAGGTCCCTTTTGGGGTCATTCTGGGGACAGCCGGGTGCCTTGGCCCCTTTTGGGAAGAACCCACAACCCCGGCTTCTTTTTTTTTTGGGGGGGACCCCTGGAAATCCGGGACCCCATTGGGGTCACCCAGGTGCTGGGGTCCTTTGGGGACACCGGGACCCCCCCCTTGGGGACACCAGGACTGGGGTCCCCTACAGGGGGGGGGACACACACAGAGGGGACGGCGCTGTCACTGGGGGGGGGACACCTGGGGGTCCCCTGTAATGGGGGGGGCACCCAGATCGCCTTGGGGGGGGGGGCATCTGGGTCTTTGGGGGGAAATTTGGGCCCTGAAGAATCGTTTTTTCGTTTTGCCCTGAAGGGAACGGTTTGGGCCCTAAAGAGAAGGTCTGGGGCCCAAAAAAGAAGGGCTTGGGCCCTAAAAATCGGGGCTTAGGCCCTGAAGAGAGGGGATTGGGCCCAAAAGGGAGGGATTTGGGCCCAAAAGGGAGGGATTTGGGCCCTAAAGGGAAGGGTTTGGGCCCTAAAGGGAAGGGTTTGGGCCCTAAAGGGAAGGGTTTGGGCCCTAAATAGGAGGCGTGAGGCTCTAAAATTAATAGTGGAAACCCTCTGAAGGAAGTTTTGGACCCCGAAATGAGGTATAGGAGACTGGAAATAACCCTGATCTAAAAAATTAGTCTTTGGACCATAAAAAGCAGGATCTGGATCCTAATTTGATGTTTTGGATCGTAAAACAGACGCTTGGATCTTAAAACCAGTGCCTTGAGCTCTCAAAAGCAGTTTGGGGTTCGGACCCCGAAAGGAAGCTTTGGGCTCTTATAATGGGGTGGTGGACACTCAAATGTGGCTTTTGGGTTCCAAAATGAAGGCTTTGGGCCCCCAAAAGGGGCTTGGGGCACTAAAAATGGTGCTTTAGGTGCGTGCGATGGGACTGCGGCTCAGAGCAGCCAAAGCCCAAATGCGGAATGGCACCACAAGGGCAGCTCTGAGGAAAATTAACTTATTACATTAATTAATTATAAATTAATTATAAAATTAATTATGCCTCCCAGGGGGAAATAAATAACAAACTGCACGGCCCAAGTCCCATTCCTGCCCCTTTGGCATCTGCAGCCGCCTGCCCCAAGTCAGCCGGGTGCAAATCCTTGTTTTTAATGTCATGTCCCGATTAAAACAGCACTTTGGGGAAAATGAAAGCAAAAATTAAAGCCAAATAAATAGAGCAAACTTGCCAGCACTACAGTTTTGGGTTTGGTTTGGTGCCTTTTATTGCTAATGTGCAAAAAGCAAGCGAACTCGGACACGCACCCCAATCCTTTTTGGGTTTTGCTTCTTGAGGTAACGCTTCCAAATTTCCAAAATCTCGGATTCTGTGGGGGGTCTCTCCTGTTCCAGGCGCCTTGCTCTGGCCGGTTTGGGTTCCAGCATCTCGGATGTGCTGTCCAGGGTGGGCAGAATGTCCTCTCTTCATTCTTCTCCTGGGACCCCCTGAGATGTCGATGGCCCCATTTTGTCCATCCCTGGTGTTCCGCTTCAGGCTGTGAGTTTGTCCTGGTCTTGGCTGGCCAAAGGCTGGTTTTTGGCAAGAGGCAGCCCCGGGATTGCTGGCAGCTGGCTGAAAACACATCAAAAATGTCTTCATGAGCACACGATGGCACTGGGGCCGCATCCCGCACCCTGAAAACGTGACCCTGCTTGCACACCACGGGCCCCATCCACCCCTCCGGGTGCTGCTTTCAGCAATTTGGGGTGGCCCCAGCCCGGAGTGTTTGGGGCTGGGCGAGGGGCTCCCTGCTGGGGAGAAGACAACCGTGAGCCTCCGGCCTCACCTGATCCCGGATTCCTTCTTGTTCTCCTGTGCTTTTGTTTCCTTCAGCCTTGGGAGCTCGTGTTTCGGGATGCTCGCGCGCACGGTGAAAGGCATGTCGAGCAATCCCCCTGAGGCTGGAAAGGACGGACATGGTCAGAAGTGGGGTGCTGCTGCTGCCGACATCGGTCCCAGGGGGGTGCAGAGGGTCTCGGACCCCCATCCTCCTGCTCAGGCACCGTGGCCACTTCCCACCCCAGGGCTCAGTTTTGGGGAAGCCACCGAGATGTGGGGACAAAAGGCTGTGCCCAGCTGTGCCCGTCCCTTTGGCGGTGATGTTGGGCATCAGGCACCTGCGCTGCATGCCGTCCCACAGCTCTACCCGGGTCGGCTTCATGCAGGAGGGTTTCCTCTCCTTGGCAGAGGTCGCGTTCAGGCTCATCCCTGCGCTCGTCCTCTGAACAATCCACCCTTGGAGCCGACAGACCAGGGCTTAGGCCCTGAAGAGACGGGCTTGGGGCCTAAATTTGAGGGGTTTGGGGGCTAAGGAGAGGGGTTTGGGGCCTAAGGAGAAGAAGGGTTTGGGCCTTAAAGAGAGGGTGTGGGGCTTAAAAAGCAGAAGGGTTTGGGCCGGAAAAAGTGGGGTTTGAGCCCTAAAGAGAGGGGTTTGGGGCCTAAAGAGAGGTTTTGGGCCTGAAGGGAGGGGTTTGGGCCTAAAGAGAGGGGTTTGGGGCCTGAAGAGAGGGTTTTGGGCCTGAAAAAGAAGGGTTTGGGGCCTAAAGAGAGGGTTTTGGGGCCTAAAGAGAGGTTTTGGGCCTGAAGGAGTGGGTTTGGGCCTAAAGAGAGGGGTTTGGGCCTAAAGAGAGGGGTTTGGGCCCCAAAGAGAGGTGTTGGGCCTGAAGGGAGGGGTTTGGGCCTGAAAAAGAAGGGTTTGGGCCCTAAAGTGAGGGGTTTGCGGCCTAAGGAGAAGTAGGGTTTGGGGCCTAAGGAGAAGAAGGGTTTGGGGCCTAAAGAGAGGGTGTGGGCTCGAAAGAGAAGGGTTTGAGCCCAAAAGAGAAGAAGGGCTTGGGCTCTAAAGAGAAAGGTTTGGTCCCTAAAGAGAAGGCTTTGTGCCCTGACTAGAAAAAGGATTTGGGCCCTAAGGAGAAGAAGGATTTGGGGCCTAAAGAGAACGGCCTGGGCCCTAAAGGGAAGTGCCTGGGCCCTAAGGAGAAGGGTTAGAGGTCTCAAGTAAGGGTTTTGTGCCCTGAAGATTTTTTTTTATTTTTTTTTTGCCCTCAAGAGAAGGGTTTTGACACTGAAGGAAAGGGTTCAGGCTCTAAAGAGAAGGATTTGGGCCCTAAAGAGAAGGGTTTGGGGCCTAAATAGGGCGCAGGAGGCTCTAAAACTGATGGTGGAAGCCCTCTGAAGGAAGTTTTGGACCCCAAAATGAGGTATAGGAGACTGGAAATAACCCTGATCTAAAAAATTAGTCTTTGGGCCATAAAAAGCAGGATCTGGATCCTAACTTGAGGTTTTGGATACTAAAGCAGATGCTTTGATCTTAAAGGCAGTGTACTGGGCTCTCAAAAGCAGTTTGGGGTTTGGACCCTTAACGGAAGCTTTGGGCTCTTACAATGGGGATGCAGACACTCAAATGTGGCTTTGGTTTCAAAAACAAAGGCTTTGTGCCCTCAGAAGGGGCTTGGGGCATTAAAAATGGTGCTTTAGTTGAGTGCCATGAGACTGCTGCTCAGAGCAGCCAAAGCAGCAGTGTGCCATCAGCACTGCTGCGGGCACAAATGCGGAATGGCACCACAAGGGCAGCTCTGATGAAAATTAACCCTAATTAATTATGCCTCCCAGGGTGAAATAAATGCGAAACTGCACCACACAATTCTCATTCCTACCCCTTTGGCATCTGCAGCCGCCTGCCCCAAGTCAGCCGGATGCAAATCTTTGTTTATAATGTCATGTCCCGATTAAAATAGCTCTTTGGGGAAAATGGAAATAAAAATTAAAGCCAAATAAATAGAGCAAACTTGCCAGCACTATGGTTTTTGGTTTGGTTTGGTGCCTTTTTTTTGCTAATGTGAAAAAAGCAAGCGATCTCCGGACCTCAACCACCAGCAGCCTCCAAACTGAACACAAGAGCCCTGCTGAGAGCTGCAGGGATCGCCCAGCTGCCAGCATCTCCACCTCTCCCCAGCCAACTTCCCTCTCCCGCTGGAGAGAGGGCAGCATGTCCCACGGCCTCTGGCCTCTCTCTTTCTGCTCCCTGGCATAACAGCCAGGACCTGGGCACCTGGAGAGTGATCCGAGTGCCTTGGGTCAGCAGGGTCCTGAGCCCAGCCCTGAACGAGCGCCATGAAGGCTGTGGTCGTCTGGGCTGGGTTTTGATCTGACCAGTGATTTCTGCTGAAAGCTGCCTCCGCCTGCAGAGCATCTGGACGTGACAGCCTCCATAAGAGGGAGAGCATGTGTGGAGGTGCACATCCCTTCGTTTAACCTCCACGTATAATGCTGCAGAAAGAAGTCTGAATGGAGGCAGGACAGAGACTTTTAAATTCCTAAAGTGCAGTTTTGTCTGAGACGTATCATTCTTACACAGACTTTAAATTTGTTTCCCTCTCTAGTCTGGATTGAAATAGCCCTGGTCTGACCCTAAGCCAAAAACCACACTGAAAATAGGAAGCAGAACAACTAAGAGCTCACTTCCTAAGTCACCACACCAGAAAAAAATCGGCAGAACTGACATTTCACACCCAGATCCATTGTCCCCAGGATCTCATGAAGTAATATGCCCATCAGGATCCTTTTCCTCTCTCATCACAGGGATCCACAGAGCAGCCACCACTTGTCGGTCCCAGTGGGATCACCCCTGGCCTCCCACCAACCAACCTCAGCCCTCCTGGGTCAGGCACGGGGGGCGTACGCAGGGTCCCCGACGTGCTAGAGATGCCAGGCTGGGATGGAGGAGAGCAGGGCTTCCACGCCAGCCTCACCTCCCTGCAATGGCCCTGATCTCAGCATGGTTTGGGCTGATGGCAGAGCCACAGCCCCGATGGGAAACTTCATCCTGATCCCAGTGAGACTGCATCGTGAACAAAGGAGACCTCAAGCATCTTTCACAGGACATTCTTTATAATTTCCACCATCTCCTTCCTCGTGGTCCAAAGACTGATGGGTTTCTGCAAAACAAGAGAGACTCCTCTGAGTCAGCACTGCCACTTTTTGGAGCTCTTTGCCCACACGCAGACCCCGGGGATGGCTCCAGGCCACAACACCGAGGGCAGGGCCGCCATTTCCCTCCCTCTCTTTATCCCATCACCAGAGCCAGGCCAGCAGCAGGGTTTTGCTCCTGGGCTCTGCCAGGCCCACCCAAAAAGCCCTTCTCTTCCCAACACGCCTCCAAAGCAGCACCCAGCTGCAAACAAACCCTCTCCCCTCCGGCCACGAGCAGCCTCCTGCTTTGTTAGGCCTTCCCCACGCTGACAGGAGACGTGGCCTGCTGTGTCTGCGTGTCAGCAGAAGGGGGGACAACGCTGCAAAAGGGGGGACTTGTGTCTAAGGGCTGCAGGGAACGCAGCCACTCCATCGAGCAGCACCAAGGGGGCTCCCAACAGCCCCACTGCCCCCCAAACTCTGCCTTCCTACAAGGAGACAGCACCCAGCAAGGACTCAAATGTGAATCTACAGCGTCTCCCTGCCACTGCCTCAAAGGAGGCTGGAGCAGGGTAGGGATCGGTCTCTTCTCCCACACAACAGGCAGCAGGCCAAGGAAATGGCCTCAAGTTGCACCAGGGGAGGTGAAGGTTGGATATTAGGAAATATTTCTTCACTGAAAGCCTTGTAGGGCATTGGAACAGCTGCCCGGGGATGTTGTTGAGTCACCATCCCTTAACGTATTCAAAAAACGTGGAGAGCTGGTACTTCCAGACATCGTTTATTGGGACCTAAAAGATCCTATGGTTCTTTGAGTTCCATACCTGTCCTGCCACCTGCAGAGGAACGATCAGGAACGACTTCCTCAGGGCACGGCAGCCCTGATCAGTGTGGCCAGGGCCTCTCCGTCCTGGAGATCCCTGGTCTGCCCTTTGGTGGATGGGGCTGCAGTGACATGGGCGCCTCACATATGGTTGGCAGCGGCTGGGGGCACTTCTTGCTGTGTGCTGACAGCACTTTCTTCTGAGGTTCTTTCATCAGCGACCAGAAAGACTCGGGCCTCGGTTTTAGCAGCTGAGAGGCTGGCCAAGAGGCTGGCCAAGAGGCTGGCCAAGAGCTCCAACCCGAGAGGTCTTGGTGGGCCAAGGGCAAGCATTGCTGCTGCCCCCTTGTGAGGCTGCCCAGGTCGTGGGGAAAATAAAACATCACCTTGTGAAGGTTCTCCTTCCCAGCCAACATCTCCAGAAATTCGTAATAGAATTTCATTTGCACCTTTGTGCCTTCGATGAGGAGCACCCCTACATCCCTCAGGACGAGGGCGATGTTCTCCCCCTTCCCCAGGCTGTGAGAGATGAGGGACGTGGTGCTTCGGATGCAGCTCTCCACCGTCTTCCAGGACATGGAGGCAGCTGCAGCCACCTCAGGGAATTGGAGGGGCTCCAGCTCCTTATGGCCTGGAAAACGACACGAGAGGGATGGAGTCGGTCACCAGCGGCCCTTCCACGTGTTCCCCAGGTGCTGCTCATGGCAGTCGTCACCCAGAAAGGCTTCGGTTTGGGACCTGCTCTGTGCAGGGGATGCTTTGCTTCTGAGAAGCACCTGAGATCCATGCAGCAAGGGATTCCTGCACCCTCTTACCTGGCAGGTATTCCTTATTGTCCGTGAGGTTGTGAGAAACTATAAGGTTCCTGGCCAGGTAAAACACATGCATCGGGAAAATTATTGTCTCATTCCGAACCTTGACACATTTGGTAACAACATCAAAGGAGCCAAGGGCAGGAATATGGACACCCTGCAAGTGGAAGAGAACAGAAGGGCCGAAGGTTAAGGATCAGCTGGAATAAGAGCCGGAGATGGTCCCATCCGGGGTCCTGCTCTGCCCTTCCCACTGTTGGGAGCCAGGCTTAGGGACCCAGGGGCTTTCAGCAACTGGGGTCAGCCCTGAGATACCACACCGCCTACCACAAGCAGCACCGCACTTATGCGATACCTATTGGTCTCTTGGTGAGGCCTTTTGGGGTGAGTTGTCTACTTTTGAGGAGGGGAAAAAGGGTGACGTGGGTGCCAACCCACCTGGCGCAGCTGGAGGTGGTCCCGGATGTAGGCTGACACTGCATCCCAGACAGATTTTTGATCTGGAAGGCAAAGAAAATCAGGTCACGCTCTGTGTCTGGTGGCTGCCAGCCTTCCGGCACCCCCAGCCCCACATTTTGGTGGCAGAGGAAAAGAGCCGTCACATCTCCAGCCCCAAACGGAGACCCCCCAGAGATGACCACAGAGCTGGGTCAACCCCGATGGAAAGCCCCAAATGCACATCAGCCGCGCCGCTGCTGTGCCGGGGGTGCCCATACCTCTGGCAGTGATTTTGGGCATCGAGGATCCATGCTTCATCCCATCCCAGAAATCTATCTTGGTCCGCCTCATGTAGGCGGGTTTCACGTCGTCAGCAAAGGTCACACGCCGGCTCATGCCTACGCTCGTCCTCCGGACAATCCAGAGTGCGGGACCCCGGCGCCCACCTCCCCTTCTGTGCCCCAGCCAGGCCGTATCACAGGGCCACTGTGACATGGCCACCGCTCCACTGAGACATAGCCATTGCTGCCACGACTACCAATCACATCCCCACCAGCAAAAAAAAATGAGCGTCTGCACTAAGTAACGGCAGAGCATGCCCAAAAATCAGGTTTTGGACACTTCAGCAGAGGATGCTGACCCTAGAAATCAGCTGTCGGTCCACAACATTGAAGCTTTTGACACAAAGAATGGGGTTTTGGAGGTTGCGAAAGAGAAGTTGGCCCCTCTAATATGCTCTGAAGCAGCAGGAGAGGCTTTGGAATCGAAAAAGGCAGCCTTGGCCATTATATGGCTGCTTTCCACTCTCAAAATGAGGCTTTTGGCTTTCCACACTGGTGCTGAGACTCTAGATACTACAAAGCAGGCTTTGGCACTGCAGTGTGGGGTTTAAACACTTAAAGGAGAGCTTGGGCCATAGAAAGGAGGGTTTCAGCCCAAACCATTTGGGTACTCACAAGCAGTGCATGGTTGCCGCAAGGAGGGCTCCGACTCCCCAGTGGGACTCTGGGCCCCAAAACGAAGCTCCGCACTCCGAAGGCCAGGCCAGAGGGGCTCCAAAAGGCTCCCTAATTCTGCTGCCTCCCACCTCGGCTCCCCCATTTCTGCAGGCCCCTGGCATGGCCGCCAGGACATGGACTGAGGAAGGGAATGGAGGAAGAAGTAGCCCAGGGCGGGCTGTTTTAGGGAGGTCCCAGCTGAGTGGCAGCTAGCAAATGTGACGCCCATCCAAAAGAAGGGGCAGAAGGAGGGTCCGGGGAGCTGCAGGCCTGTCAGTCTGCTCTTGGTGCCAGGGCAGCTCATGGAGCAGATTATGAAACGGCCTGTTCTCTAAATAAAGGCGTTGACCTTTCAGTACTGGTGTTTTAACCCAAAATGAGGCTCTAGGTACTTTGCGTTAGGCCTTGGGAGTTCAACAGGAGGGGTTGAACAGTTGGAGGCCTTGTGCCATAAATGGAGGGTTTCAGACCAAAACATTAGGCTTTTGGCCCTCAGGCCCAAAACATCAGGCTCTGACACTCTAGCTCTGGCTAGAGCTCGGGAAGAAAAAGCGGGTTTATGGCCTTGGGAAGAAGGGGCAGGTCACTCACGAGGACTTCACCAGCATGTGAACTTTTGCTTTTAGAGTCCAGAGCCTCATTTTCAGTTTCCAAAGCCTCAAGGCTAGGGCTCAAATCCTCATTTGCTCAGTCCAAAGCCTGATGTTTAGGATGCAGAGCCTCATTCCTTGACCCCACAGCCACTTTTGGAGGGTCCAAAGCTCCGGTTTTGGAATTCAAAGCCTCATTTTCGGTGTCCAGAGCCTCCACTGAGAATCCAAGCTCAGTGTTATGCTCACAGCTTCATTTTAGAGTCTGAAGTCTCATTTTTGTTATCCAAATCCTCAATTTAGGCACCAGAGTGTCATCTGTTTGTAACTAAAGCCTCATTTTTAGGGGCCAGAGCCATGTTTTCTTTACTTAAAGTCATGTTTTTAGGGCCTAGATGCTCATTTGATAAGTCCAAAGCTTCAATATTAAGGCTAAAACCATCAATCGGCCAGTACAAAGCCTCATTTTACTGTCTAAAGACTCATTTTCAGGGTCAAGACCAACATTAGCATCCAAAGCCTGTTCTATTTTTCCAAACTTCCATTTTTAGCACACAAAGTCTCATATATGTGAACCAAAACCTCATGTGCATGTTCAAAGCCCCAGCTTTTTATGTCCAAAACATCATTTTTTTTTTTGAACCCAATCACTTTATTATCCAAAGTCTCATTTTTAGACTCAAAAGCCTCATCTGTACACCCGAAGTCCTATTCTTAGGACCTGAGACCCCATTTTCGCAGCCCAAAGGTTCTTTTATCATCTAAAGCTTCACTTTGGGGGTCAAAAGCCCTACTTTTGGTCTCAAATGGTAAGTTTTCAGACCAAAGCAATGTTTTGAACCATAGAATCACTGGAATGATCCCTACCCTGCTCCAACCTCCTTTGAGGCAGTGGCAGGGAGATGCTGTAGATTCACGTTTGAGTCCTTGCTGGGTGCTGTCTCCTTGTAGGAAGGCAGAGTTTGGGGGGCAGTGGGGCTGTTGGGAGCCCCCTTGGTGCTGCTCGATGGAGTGGCTGCGTTCCCTGCAGCCCTTAGACACAAGTCCCCCCTTTTGCAGCGTTGTCCCCCCTTCTGCTGACACGCAGACACAGCAGGCCACGTCTCCTGTCAGCGTGGGGAAGGCCTAACAAAGCAGGAGGCTGCTCGTGGCCGGAGGGGAGAGGGTTTGTTTGCAGCTTTGGAGGCGTGTTGGGAAGAGAAGGGCTTTTTGGGTGGGCCTGGCAGAGCCCAGGAGCAAAAAACACTGCTGGTGGTTCCAGTACTGATGCCTGGGGGCCAGCACCAGTGACCGGCCTCCAGCTGGATTTAACCCCATTCACCACGACTCTTTGGGCCCAGTTTTTAATCCAACAAAGCGTACACCCGTCCAGGCCTCGAGCTGCCAGTTTCTCCAGGAGAATGCTGTGGAAATGGGGTCAAAAGCCCAAGTGAAGGTTAGGTATTTCCTAGCAGACATGTGGTGAGTTCCAGTCCCCCAGACCTCAGTGGTTTCACCATGATAGAAGGAGCTCTGTACACACGGGACCAGACCGCTGAGTTGGCTGCAGTATTCGTGCTCCTCCCAAAACCAGTCCTCCCCATCATACAGCAACCCCACATCAAGTGAGGTGGCCCAAAACAGCGAGGTATGGCCGTGTTACTGTGCCCGTAGGTATGCTATTTACTCCTTGACCAGCTTAAAGGATGCACGTGGAGATCCACAGAAGGACAGAGCCACCCAAAGCACACTTCTCCACCCACCATCGCGCCCTCTTCTATTAACAGGACGCAACATTAAGGTCGTCAGAGGTTATCTGAGAAAGATCCAGGGGCCTCGAAACTTCTTGATCCATGATTACAGAAGGCCTGGTATGGACTGGGAGGTACTGGCGCCTCACGACCCACATCTCCCTGGTCAGCAGAGCAGTGGCCGTGTCACAATAGAGCAGTGGCTGTGTCACAATAGAGCGGTGGCTGTGTCACAATAGAGCGGTGGCCGTGTCACAATGGCATGACACAGCCTGGCTAGAGTATAAAAGGGGACGTGGGCGCGGGCTCCTGCACTCTGGATCGTTCAGAGGACGAGTGCAGAGATGAGCCTGAACGCGACCTCTGCCAAGGAGAGGAAGCCCTCCTGCATTAAGTCGTCCCGGGTAGAACTGTGGGACGGCATGCAGCGCAGGTGCCTGATGCCCAACATCACCGCCAAAGGTACGGGTACCACAGGAGTAGTGTTGGCAACCACATTTGGGGCTTTCCTTGGGCGAGACCCAGTGGCGGAGCCATGGCGGGGTGTCTCCGCTGGGGCTTTTCATCTGCCACCGAACCCCGGCTCTGGGGGTGCTGCTGGAGCTGTGGGACCACCAGACCCAGCGTGAGCAGGCACCAAACATCGGGTCTCGGGGTGCTGCTGGAGGTGTGGGACCACCAGACACACTGTGACCAGGTTTTCCTTTGCTTTCCAGAGCAAACAGACGTCTGGAATGCGGTGGCCAACTACGTGCTGCAGCAGCTCCTGCAATACAAGGTGGGTCGGCGCCGAGTCCAACTTCTCTGCTTGGCTTCTCCAAGTCAGGGGAGTCCCCACAGCTCGGGGCCACGGGCTGTAGTGACCCTTCCCCTCCCCGGAAAGCAGGGAACTCACCCCAAAAGTCCCCACCGAGGGGCTGACAGGCACCACGCAGGCACGGTATCCCTTGTGGTAGGTGGTGTCGTGTCTCAGGGCCGATCCCAGTCATTGGAGGCCCCTGGGTCCCCTCAGGCTGCTTCTGCCTTGACTGCAGCAGAGCGTTTTCGGAAGGGCAAGGGGAGGGAAAGGACTGGAATGGGGCCACCTCCAGCTCTTCCTCCGGCCTGTCCTCACCCTTTGTCCCTTCCCTTCCACTCGCAGGGTGTCCGAATCCCCACTCTGGGCTCCTTCGATATAATCCAGAAACGGATCCAAGCTGGGGACAAGGCGATGACTTTGCAGTGGCCAGTGTTTCACCTGGCCACGAACCTCATAAACACGCACCACCTTGAGGACAGCAACGGCAGCCTGCCAGGTAAGGTGCTGGATGAAACCTTGCTGGCTGCACGGCCGGGGCATGTGGGGCATGGCCTCCGTGCTCAAAAGCCAAGCCACGGAGCCAGCCCAAAGCTGGGGCATTTGGGGGGATGGCTGCAACAAGCAGCACGTGGGGGAGATGCATGAAGGGCCGCCGGGTGCCTAACAACATCCATCCCGTGTGGTTTTCCAGCCCACAAGAAGCTGGAGCCCCTGAGACGTGCCGAGGTGGCGGCGGACGCCTGCGTGTCCTGGCAGAAAGCTGAGAGCTGCATCCGAGGCACCATGGCCCTCATCTCCCAGTGCCTGCGGGAGGGGGAGAACGTCGCCCTCGTCCTGAGGGACCTGGGCGTGCTCCTCATAGAAGGCACCAGGGTGGAGATGAAATTCTACTACGACGTCCTGGAGATGCTGTGTGGAAAGGAGGACCTTCAGAATGCCGTTTTGAAGGTGAGGGGCTTTGTTTTGCTCCAGGCAATCCGAAAGCATGTCGGAATGGCTCAGGCCAGGCCAAAGGGACGGTCCTGCCCGCTCTGGGATCTTGGGATCCCCCCCACCAGGGATATTCTCCCACCTCTGTTCTCCCCCCTGCAGGTCCCGCAGCTGATGGACACCGTGGTGTCCCGGCTGGCAGTCATAGCCTCCCTGACATCCTCTGGCCGTGTCGTCATCTTCCCCGAGTAAGTATATTTGCAAAGTCGGCTGCTCAGTGCAGCTGCTCAGCTCCTTTTTGGTACCATTTGGCCAAAAGCAGCCTCTATGGAATGTGAAAACGTGCCCATGAGCAGGCGACGACAGAGAGCAGAAAGGGCAGCTCGTGCCGAATGTCACACCAGGGTCCTCTCCTTGCGTGCAGGTTTGCAGTGGAGTTGGTGCCCAAATCGTCATACAGGAAATCATCCAAGGCCCCAGAGAAACTCCCTGGGAAGGAGAAAAAGAAGAAGGACGGGGTCTTGCCACCTCTCAGCCAGGGCAAGAAAGGTAAAGCAGCGGCCGGCTCCTTCCCGTGGCACGGGTGGCCCAGTTTTGGGATCCAGTGGGCTCATGCCCTGGTGTGGGTGCTCCCAAGGCTCCAGCCTGCCCCAAAACTCTGCCCGCCAGCTGGGCACAGCCTGTTGTCCCCACATCTTTCTTGGTGGCTTCCCCAAAACTGAGCCCTGGGATGGGAAGTGGCCACAGTGCCTGTGCATGGGGAAGGCAGGAGGATGGGGATCCTAGACCCTATGCACCCCCCTGGGACCGATGTCGGCAGCAGCAGCACCCCACTTCTGACCATGTCCGTCCTTTCCAGCCTCAGGGGGATTGCTCGACATGCCTTTCACCGTGCGCGCGAGTATCCCGAAACACGAGCTCCAAAGGCTGAAGGAAACAGCACAGGAGGACAAGAAGGAATCTGGGATCAGGTGAGGCCGGAGGCTCACGGTTGTCTTCTTCGCAGCAGGGAGCCCCTCGCCCAGCCCAAACACTGCGGGCTGGGGGTGCCCCGCAGTGCTGAAAGCAGCATCTGGAGGGGTGGATGGGGCCGGTGGTATGCAAGCAGGGTCACGTTTTCAGGGTGCAGGATGCGGCCCCAGTGCCATCGTGTGCACATGCAGTCTTTTTTGATGTGTTTTCAGCCAGCTGCCAGCAATCCCAGGGCTGCCTCCTGCCAAAAAACAGCCTTTGGTCAGCCAAGTCCAGGACAAACTCACAGCCAGAAACG